TGCTGAACGTTGCAATAGTTTCAAGAAAATAAATTATATTCGTGATAATCCTTGAAGAATGCATTCCCTTCTAAGTTTCTCTTGTTTTATTAATTAACACATGCCTAGAATAAAATATATTTTAATAAATGTATAATCCTAATAGTTTTGGTAATTAAAAAATACCAAATGAAGAAATATTTATTTCTTCATTTGCATATACCTTTATGTATTATTGTTGATCGTTCTCCTGTTATATTACATTTTATTAGAATCTCTAGTGATATATCCTAAATGTCTAATTTGCAGAACACGCTAACAATGTTAATAACTGTGATAATGTAACAGCCATGCTGTTATTATTATCACGACTATCATATTTCGCTGTATCATTTCTGTATCACAAGAATTGCTATCTAAATTCTTACGAGCTCTTTACGATTCTTTGTTTCAGAAGTTACTGTCATTCTTCCATCCTAAACCAACGCGAGTGGACAAGGCGGACAACAACAACACGACCAACTCCACGACTAACAACATCCATAACAACGCGGACACATATGAGCCTATGAACCACAAGTTCCCCTCTTCATATCGTACGTACAATTACGGATTTGCATAAAATTGAAGTGCCACTATTTCACTTAACGACAGGGGGCCTGAAGGCAGAGTAATAAATGAAAGTGATACGCTTGCTCATTGTATCAGCCAAGACAACCATGCGTTTGCGCACACTCACTCACGTGATTTACATGAATTACATCGATTACATGAATAATTTTTTTTCTGAAATCCGTTTTACAACCTTGACATGGTTTTTAATGGTACGTGTGCGCGATTCGTGTAGTTTTCAAGGAAAGCATTTTCACGTTCTCTCTCGGCCACTTTAAATTAGCGACAGTCGCGAGGGAAAGTTATATCCGTGGAATAAAATGGTCGACGTATGAGCCGATTACTACTGATCTTATCTTAAGAAATTTTAATCGCACCTTCTTATCTTGATAATTGATTTTTAAGTGCCCAACGACCAACCTGAAAAACGTCAAGTGCCAATTTAATTTTTATGCAGACTCATCTTACATTCAAAAGTGAACTTTTAAATATTTTTTAACTCCAAATTGTGATTACCATATGGCCTACACGATGCCCACAAAAGTTGCAATGGAATGCATTACCTTCTTTTAACATAAACAGAAATAAACTATATTTGAAAACGAATTATAATTAAAATTCGTTTATATCATGTATTGAAATTGGCTCTGTTCGGTGATCCATCTTTGATGCTCTTGAAATTCATTTTATTAATTCATCGTTGGTACTTCTTTGATCTTATGGTACATAGTTGACAGTAGTCCTTTCCCATCCTTTTATGGCTCTCTGTCTCATCTGATCCCAGTGTATTCTGTTCATTCCCTTCATTACACGATGCAATGTAATCCTATTTATAGACGTGACTTCCAGCCAATAACAGAAGTTCGTGTGACCTAACCTTACAATTGTATTAGAGAATGTGAACCTATTATACTATGTCTAATCAGACCCGTATTTCACCAACTTACCAGACTTGTACACTACATGTTATATGTTTCAAATTCTATGTCACTTACTTCCACATCGTTATCTTATTATATCGTTTATATTATGTACAAAAAACAGCTAGATTGCCAATGACACCTGCAGAAGCTCTCAGGTATTATGGTTCGAGGCTTACCGAATTCGAGCGCACTGAAATCGAGAAATACTCAGAAATTTGGTACCTCGGTCTGTCAGCTACGAAGATTCATGGCGAAGAGGGCGCTTCCCAAAATGGTGGATACGACGATGAAAACGGTAGTTACAACAAGGTCTTCCACGATCATATCTCGTACAGGTGCGTTTTTCATTTATTTTTTTTTTTTTTCTTTTCCTTCGTCGTTGCTGCTTCTCCATGAAAGTTTTAACAGCTGAACATCCATTGAAACGCTTTATTCTGACGATGATTTTCACGTTATCGTCGCGATTTGGTCACGATTAAAAGAAATAAATACTTACTGGATTAAACCAAGAGGTAAAAATATCATTGTCGAAATTTCTGTACCTTTAAACCAGCTTCCTTCCATTTGTTTTATCCTTTTCCCTTTAGAAGAGTATTCTGTTTTCCCCCACATTTATCTCTCAGTTAATTAAACCAACGACAAGTGAATCTTCCGTTGAAGTTTCGGCCATGTTTTCTGAAAATAAAGAAAAATCAGTTTATGCATGGAGATCAGTCTTATACTTAATTTTTGTGTTCGTCCAAGGTTGCACAACCAACTTTATGTTATAAATTGCAAGATAATACCTCAAAGCAGAGGGAAAAGCTTAAGACGATGCAACTAAAACGGTAAATATCGTCTTTCAGTCATGTTCACAGCACGCAATCGTGTTCACGTTGCTTTTGGTTCGTTGTTAATCAGAAATAGAGTATCGGGAAGCAATCGTTCGATGCGAAACGAGATACGCTGCTTGAAAGATACGAGCTAACAGGGTTCGGTCGTTTTGTAAGCAGAATACACGCACTCTCATGGGAACGTTGACTGAAAACCGTATCTATGATTATTCAGTATAAAGTACATTACGATTATAACTAAATTACAATTAGAGAATTATAACCTATAATTTACGTTTTCCTCCTTTCTTATGTATCGACGACCCATCAAAATCTTTGTCAAAGAAGAATCTGTGTAAATCTTGTTATAAATCTTGATACACTCCGAATAAATCTTCCTTGATAGAAACAGTCTTTAAACTTTGTTATCCATGAAACAAGATGTCAGCGTAAAACTATCCTAAAATAAAATTTGAAAAATTTCATTATGAAATTAATATTACAAACGGTACGATATGCAAGTAAAAGCAAAGTAAACTGGAAAATAAAATTCAGAAAGGAAATTTTATCTTAACACTAGAATTACTGATCCGTACGATATGTACCTAAACACGGTATATTTAGATAATGATCATTAAAATAATACGATGATAATAAATAGCTGTGTTGCGATATTACCTTGGTAAAAGTCAATATTAATTTTTCCTAAATTAAGTATACGTGTTCTCACTAACCCCAAAAACGAAACGTCGAAACTAGTTATTGTCACTAGTTCGGTAGTTCTAGTGTTAAATTCGTCACCAAATAAACCAAAAATCCGCGATTTTCTTGTTTAGATACGAGATACTGGAAGTGATCGGGAAGGGAAGCTTCGGACAAGTGATCAAAGCGAAGGATCATAAGACGGGACAGTACATTGCCATCAAGATTATCAGGTGAGCGAACGTCTGGACGATCGTCGGTGTCTCCCTCTTCGGTGAATCTGTTTTACCATACGGCCCGCGTTCGCAATCATGGCCGCTTCTGTGGTCACGCGTGTTCACTGCTCTCTTCACGCATATCCGCTTTGTTTTGTTCGATTCCAAACTGACAGCACATCATGCGACATACTTTTGCAGGAACAAAAAGAGATTCCATTATCAGGCGCTCGTCGAAGTGGAAATCTTGGAACACCTCAGGAAGAAAGACTTGGAAGCGAACGCGTCGCACAATGTGATACACATGCTAGAATACTTCTACTTCAGGAACCATTTGTGCATCACCTTTGAGTTAATGAGGTACGAAGGGTGCTTCATTCTTCTCTTTAATCTTCGCGAAGTAGGTTATTCCTCTTTTTTAGAAGCGTGCTCCAGATGGCGTTTTGAATATGGCGGGAAAAATGGTGTTACGAGTAGTTGACGAAATATTTCAAAGAGACGGAAGAGGGATAAATATCGATGAATATCGTGGTTATTATATTGTAATTTCTCGAGTATAACTTTGGTGTTCTGTAATGGAATTCGCTGTTATATTCAAATACCATCGAACTGAAAGTTAAAAAAATGAAGTTTCGTGAATGCTTTTCTATATAAAAATAATTTAAAAATAATTTTCTTCTCGTCTCATTAAACGAAAGATTATTATTATAATTAACAGACGTGTTTTTCTTTGCAGTTTGAATTTGTACGAGCTAATCAAAAAGAATAACTATAAGGGATTTAGCATGAACCTAATACGACGATTCGCCAATTCGTTAGTTAGCTGCCTGAGATTACTGTATCGAGAAAAAATCATTCACTGCGATTTGAAACCCGTAAGTATCATACGTGTTTCCGAGTTGATCAAAATTACAATTTCGGCCATAACATTCGAAATTCGTCGAATTTTCTTCTTCGTTTAAAATATTCAAATCTTTCTCTTTTCCTGAAATGCTGAAATTACAGCTCCATCAAATTCTGTACATTATATTTTTATTTCTTTTTACTTACTTTACTCGAGTATAAAACCAAATAATCATCCTTGTTTATTCAATGAAAGCCATGAATCCTTGGTAGTAAACGTGTTAATGAACTAGCTAGCTGCGAACAAAGTAAACAGTGATGTAAACAGCAAGGAATGCAAGGGGTTAATAGGGGTGAGGTCTCTCTACTTAGTACCACTTTCTAATTCGTTGTCGTTGTACATTGCAGGAAAACGTGCTTCTCAAACAACGGGGAAGTAGCTCGATTAAAGTGATAGACTTCGGATCCTCGTGTTACAGTCATCTACGTGTATATACGTATCTTCAGTCCAGGTTTTATCGAAGTCCAGAAGTGATTCTGGGTCATCCATATGGTACCCCAATCGATATGTGGAGTTTAGGCTGCATCCTGGCCGAACTTTACACCGGTTGTCCATTGTTCCCGGGTGAGGACGAAATTGAACAGCTTGCCTGCATCATGGAAGTTCTTGGTCTACCACCTGAACACATTATTAGTCATGCGTCCCGTCGTAGACTATTCTTCGGTGAGTACAGGCGTAAAATTGGCGTATTTCTATCGCTAATTCGACAAGTTATGATAACAGATATGAATCTTATCTTCGGTGAGTACAGGCGTAAAATTGGCGTATTTCTATCGCTAATTCGACAAGTTATGATAACATAGATATGAATCTTTCATTAAGAATGCTAAGGACATTAATGGAATAACGTGTAATTTTACCGTTCAAATTTAAACGATGGTTTTCAGACCAGAAAGGAGGAGGTCCTCGATGCGTAACAAACAGCAAGGGCAAGAAAAGGTGGGCTGGTAGCAAAAATCTTAGCATGGTTCTCCATTGTAGCGACACGCTTTTCGTGGACTTTATCAGCAGATGCCTCGAGTAAGTTTCCGATGAATTTTGGTACCATTCTGCCATTCTGAAAAAATAAAATACTCGAGTTAGTATAAATATATGACATACATTGATATTAGAATTGAAACCACTGGTGATATCTCGGTTTTAGTAAGACCAGGATAAAAAGAGACTCGTTCCATTGATACAAAAGTTGCCTCCCTCGAAAGGCACGAAGCACCCCATTATCCCGTTCAAACATCATCACGCTACGGGGAACGTCTCTAACGAAAGTATATTTCCTTTTCTGGCAGGTGGGATCCAAAGAAGCGCATGACCCCCGACGAGGCGATGCGTCACGAGTGGTTGAACTCGTCGTCCTCCTTTAATGTGAGCTCCTTGACGTCGACGATACCTGTGTCGACGGTAAACGCCAATACGAATACGAACGCAAATACAACGAGCATGGAGACCTCATCACAGTCTGCCCACGCGCAAACGGTGAGCGTGACAGTGAGCGCGCCAAGGCAACGGGCAACTACCGTTGAGGATCCCCCGTACACGATGTACCGTTTGTGCAAGGGGCGCAAATACGTACAGAGGATCAGTACGACCGAAAATACCGATAATTCAGGCCTCGTGGTGAAGAGCAAGCTGAACGGAAGCGCGAGCAGCCACGCGCTCGCGAGTAGCACGCAGACCACTACCTCGAGACACGCCTCGACCGGCGATATCGTCGCGAGTCTGGACCCAAATCTCGACGATTCCGGTACGTTTTTACCGCCGATATTGTGAAATCGGTTTTGCGCTACCCACTTCTAGATGCTTTCGTACGTACCGTGTCGCGATCGAACAGCACTCGCTCTCCGATCTACACCGAGGTGATAACGATTGTTTATACACATTTAGGATTGACAGGCGTATTGGATCTCTTTACGTTAGAACGAACACTGTTGTAAGGTTGATTTGGTCACGACAATAAAAACAAGCCACGTACATACATACACGGTTAACCGTGCGCAGTTAAGGCCAAAATAATTCGGTTTAGGAATCCATTAGGACGATAGTAATTCTTATGAAGGTAGATCACGTTGTTCACCAATCACACAAGTAGCAAGTTTCGAAATTCGGTGTACTCGAAGAGTGAGAGAACTCTTGGAATGATACATGACATCGAGGCATGTAGAAATGGCTGGCTGTGGATCGGCCCGATCGTTCTCGACGTCGAAAGACTAGATGTTTCTTGCTAGCCTTTCGACGTGTATCGAGGAGCAGGGCCAAAACAATTTGACGAGGCGCGCGCGTGCCACGAACAACGAGCATGGTTTTTAATATAGTTAACAGAAAACGCGGTCGTTTCGGTTCGTTCATTCGCGACTGACAAAAGTAAAGGAAACCTGATCCCAGCGGCCCGACGTCACTCAGGTAATATCTTAAACGACGCGCGTGCACCAATATCGTAGAAGTCGATCGGAAGTAGAGTTTCGTCCCCCTCCTCTAAACACTCCCTTATCCTCCAGGTATAGCGAGAATTTTACTATCCTAACCGATGATATGCGTATTGCGAGTCGCGTCGAAGAAAGAGGGGATCGTTCGACGCGTGCGCATTCTTCCAACGATGATGATTGTGCGTTGGTCACCGAGATTTCCAACGTGACCGACGTCCTCTTCACCCGCACAGTTCCCCTGTGTTAAAGCATACATAGAACATATAATTATATAGGCGCAGACGATCGTCGCGGTTAGTGACGTTGTAAGAAAAGTTCGATTCGCAATCGACAAGCGCAAATTAATGTTACGGTTAACTATATATATATACATATACCCGTATGTATACTATATGTATACGAAGAAATATACACGAGGAGAGCAGCGAAAGGGTGAATGCGTTTTCAACGAGATTCTCGCCTGATACGAAATTTCTCATCGAGCATTATTCAGCATCGAATTGCAGTTAAGACATAAAGAAAGGAGTAAAGGAATAAAGAAAACGGGGAAAAAAGAGCAAGAAGATAAGTAGAACCTGAGTCGTCTGAAACCCCGTGACAACAGGGTCGTGCCGATTAATAATGAAACGTCAAGGCAAACCTCGGTGAGAAAGGGAGAGAAAGAGAGAGAGAGGGAGAGAGAAAGAGAGAGAGTGTGTGCATGTATGAAAGAGAGAGAAAGAGGCGAAACTCCTGGAAATGAAGCGTATGCCCCAGTTTCACGAGGCCTGAGTAGTCTTATTGTGATATTAATCTACCACTGGTCTTTTACGTAGATCTCTGATATTAAGAAGTAAACGATCGCTATAATTAACGATATCTTATTTCAATCTTTACTATCAATCATTATTTTCTTAATATTGATTATCGCTCTTACTATTATCGCAAGATTATATAATTACGATATTAACGAAGTTATCCAATGAGTAATAACACACAGAGAGATAACATTGTTATTTTTTTTTTTTTTTTTTATTTTTTTTTTTCAATAGAAGATACGAGTAGAAAAAAAGGAAAAAAAAGTATCAGGCGCTTGAAACTTCTGCGGCACGTTGTTCTTCGCATAATTTTTGGCCACAGTCAGCTAGTATAATACGTACAATTTCTTGTCACGTATGAGACATTGTCGTTTTATGCTTATTAATCGCTTTAACTTCTCTCTATTTACCACTGTTTTCGCTGTTACTTTAGCAAAGACATTTTAGAAGTCACATCTCTTCGCGTGTCGATCGATGATTCGCGTCATTTTTTAGCGTAAATGCGAAGGATTTGAAGGGAAAATCTGTACCGTGCAATATACGTTGCCTCGACATACACACATTCACACGTAGCACGCGCGCGCGCGCGAAAGTAACAGGTTTCCCCGCTCGGTGTTCAAAAAATCACAATGAAAGTTCAACTAAACGAGAAGGATATACTCGTAGCTATGATAAATGTCATTAGCGTTATTCGTAAACCGTAATTGCTCGTTATTAGTGACCCTTAACACATTCTGCCGCGTGTTATTTTGAAATTTCAATTGGTACCGAGATACACACATTTGTCGTGCAGTAAATATTCATTTTCATCGGAACGTAGTTGCCTTGGAGCGTGCTATGCCTCGGAAGGCAATGACTGTTTCGACTGTTTGAAAAATCGTGTGTGAAAATACTAAAACGCATGTAAAGAATGATAAACAGAATCAGAAACGAGGAATATTCACGTGATAAAGACTGAAGTGATAAAAAGCATCATTTTTAGAAGTTTATTTAAAACATAACCTCATTACTCATAATCATGTTAAGATACGTTTTTCTTACACTGTACTTTTTGTTGTATTTTCTTGACTGAACGATCACAGCCTAAAATGCATTTTTTATTTTTCTCGTGTTTCTCTCACATCCTGAAAAGAACTACTGGATGCAGTTTAAGCGCAATGTTGGTTTCCAATAATCGTATGACCTCCCATTTCTGATAGTTCTGCATGTTTGTTTGGATAGTTAAACTGTACACCTCTGATTCGTTCAGACACCTCTGATTACTGTGTTTAGTGAAATGCATCCTTTGTAAACATTTGTTTGGTAAGCTTGTGGTTAAAACCTTGCATATGGCATAACGGAAGACAACTTACATCATGTAAGGAGTAAACAAATATATTATGGAAGATGCTAAAGACAATGGAGTAATATAGGATAAGGTATCTATAGAATATGTAGAAGAAAATAGCAATGAAAATGATTTTTCAGATAACAAATTTCATATTGGAGTAGAAGCAGAAAGAGAAGCCTAAAATGAATCTGAAAATTTGTTATAGGTGAATCACGGTTAGATATAAATTATAATGTACTATAGATAAATGCTAAAATTTAGAGAAAAATTTTGGTAGACTTCACGAACGTCGGAGGTATTCAAAATAGTTTTACATACCTTATCCTATACGAACGGAAGATGAATCCGCGTTACATAATAATCAGTATGTAAGATAGCGTTAACTTTTTAACACGTTTATTATGTGAAGAATATATTTTAAATATTTTACGGATTTGTAAATCCTCTAACTCGGATTGGTTGATCAGAACGCGTAACGAACGGTTCTAAATTCACAGGCGCCACCAGTACGAGAAAAAGAGAGAGCTGCCCACAGAAGCACTTTGTTCGACTATAGTCTGAGCGGCGAGTCCAACATTAACGAGCGTAGTATCTAAGCCCACATACACAGTCACATATACGTTTGACACACATACGCGCGCACGCACAGCATACATACACACACACACTCACACATACAGATTTATAGCGAAATAAAGGAAATATCAAATTGTGTATAATAACTAACATTAATAAAACGCGTGTGCGCTGTATGCATATGTGCGTGAGAACGAACAGAAAGAAAACAGAAATACGAGAAAGGAAGACAGGGAGAAGATACGTGTTACGGAGAGAATGCGTCCAGCGAGAATGCGTTACATTATCGCATATACATATATACATATACGATTTTACGTGTTAAGTAACTCACGCGGAAGTGAAAAAACGAGTTAAATATAGGATATCCATTTAGAAAATAAATAGAGAAGACCGTTCGAACAACGTAGCTCCAGTACATGGAGTTCCCTGCTCCCCTTTACTCTTCCCCTTGGTACTGTTCGATCGTGTACAATCGTGTCGATTAAATTGTTTGTAACATTTCCAATTCGAAGGAAGAAAAAATATTTTTCCTCGATGTACACTTATCGTTAAAGTCTTTTAGCTTTTACAGTGATCTCGTTGTATGATATATTTGACAAATTCTTTGTTTATCGAATGCAGTGAACGTATATAGACGTTCAGTGAATATAATCATACGCTATAACTGCCGCTATTTCACACGAAAAAATATATGTTCAGTGTCGATTGTCTTAGAAAGATGAATTAAGTGCTGAAGTGAACAGTTACCTGGCATTTAGTCGAGGAGTATGTCAAGCGAAACATTCGTGTCGTATTGGTTTTCACGTGAACGATTTAATTGACTCGATTGAACGCATTTGGCGCGAAGAGTTTACGACTACGAGAAATACGAGATGAAATCGGCAGATGTATCTGCCTTTCGTCGTATTTCCTCATTCTCGGGAATTATTCGCGTCTATTGTGCAGTCCTTGAGTTTTTAGTTGTGTTCACTATATTGTATACAGTGGGATCAAATTACATGCGTTAGGATCGACTAATCTACGTAAACTGATCGTCTCGCGTTTAACATGTATATACGTACATGTATTCGCGCATGTGTACGCGTATTACGTGAGATGAGATATGCCTAAAATAAACAAAAATATTAAAGTATACTTTCTTTAGAAATAAAAAGAAGTAAAAAAAAAAAATAGAAAAAAAAGAGGAAAGGAAAGAAAGATATAGGACAAAGAGGTGTTTGAGCTTGAATAATCAATTGATATATCCTCTAAAACGAAATTTTCGTATGTCAGATTCGATTGGATTAAGAAAGAATCGTCGCCGTCTCGTTATTCTGATTTATCGACTGACGATAGCCGGAATAACGTGAATATATACGACAGTCGCTTTCTAGTCCAAAAACATGTTATAAAAAAAGAGGGATGGTCTAAAAAGGTCTAAACTCTACTAGAGAATAAAAGGGAAGACTCTCTTTCAGGCTTCAGCGTGGAATGCTCTTAGCATATATCTGTTAGGACAGCGTGTAACTAATTATCGAGTTAACGACGTGATTAGATCTATTGACTTCAATTAGATAGTAACTGTGCATACATGGCTAGATCGTTGCCATCGCCACGACCGTCCCTTTTCCCCCTCCCTTTTGGACGTAAAATCAATCCATCGACGTTCAATTATTAATTCATAAAATTATCGTCGTGACGATTTATTGTTCTTACTTAGTGTATCCCGATAGGACAATCACAAGTAACAGTTTTGTGTTAGCGTATCGCGAAAATTCTTGTAGTTAAGCATTTATGGAACTTCAAGTAGGAAATATTGGTCTCTTTTGTCAAAAATCCATAACACGATCGTTGAGGTTCTGTGCGCTGTTGCCGATTGAGAGACTATAATGGAATTTGTAAATTTCTCTGCATTGTACGTTTTCGTCATTGTCGAGTTCTCTTTATATGATTAGACTTCATGTGGTTAATATAGATCGTATTCCTCGAAATAAAAGCATGTACAAAATGTAATAATAAATATATCTTTGGTAATGACACAGATTTTCGCATGTTTGAGATAAAGATTGATAGCGTAAATTCTAATTGTGACTCTTTTCTTTAGCAATGTATTAGCGTACGTTACTTTGAGTTATACTAATTAAACATATATACATATATATATGTGAAAATTTTTATTCGACGTATAACGATGAGCTTCGCAAAGTGAAAAATAAATAAAAGGAAATAAACTCGGGAGGGGGAAAGGATATTCACAGAAAATAGAAGAAATATGGGGAGAAATGAAAGGGAGAGAGAGAGAGGGAGAGAGAGAATGAAAGTGAGAGAGCAGGAATTGATAATGATGATTTGTAACTTGACATTGAACAGCAGGAAAGACCTTGTTATATCGTGCAAGTGTGAGTTCGTCAATTTCTGCCCAACTTAATTATAGTAAACGAAGAGAAGAATTGCTAATAATAAATGATTATGATAATGACATTAGTATATGTAACGATACAATACTGAAGCATCATCATCTTTTGTATCATTTGTTCGTTTGTTTTTATCTTACTGCGTTTGTCTTTCATTATTAATGCAATACCAAGATGACTCGGTTTCGACGCGGTATCTTGTGTGTAAATATATACTAATAAAAGATACAAACAGAAAAGAAGTACTTTAATCCTTATCCCCCCTTAATCGTTCAGCTTATTCAAATATGCTTAGAATGAATGTTTAAATGGTTTATTTAATGTATTGATAGTAAATACATAATTTATATAATGAAAAAAGAACATAGTATGCTAAGCATAATGATAAGTACATATCATTAATCTTTATCCGAATTATTACCGTTTTACATTGATCATTATTTAAGATTCTGTTACGAATATAGATGACACAAAATTCACTCAACTTAAATTTCACAAAAAAGATAGAAAAAAATAAGTAGAAAATCAGTTTAAAAAAGATTGCATCGTTTCACGAAGATTTTTAACTGACAGAAGGCACAGGATGCTTGTTACATACATATACATAGGATACAGTTAACATTGTTACATACAGTTAACGTTATTTAATAACATACGTATGTTTTTATATTTGCCTGATACATTATCATTTTAAGATATGTATTCTACAAACAAAAATTTCTAGTAAAATATTAGTTAATGATTTAAATAGCTTTTGAAAAATGTTACATGCACAAGAATAAACATAAATGTATATGTATGCTAAGTTGTATTTGATTATTTGATATTTTGAGGTAAAACTTAAAATCCTGTTGTCCCAATGCTACCTTCTTCGTTCTCCTTTTTGTGTTTTTCGTTTTTCCTTTTTTTCTTCTCTTAACTGTTTTTGTTTTTCTCTAAACGAAAACATTATATTTATTAGCAATAATGTATTCATTGCCCTATTGCATATAAAGAATGATTTATTAAAGTCATACCGATCTTCTTTATCTTTCTCTTTTTTCCTTTGACTTTCTAATTTAGCTTTTTCCCTCTTTTCTCTTTCCTGTTGTATTATTGTAGCTGCATTTGTATTCTTTTCGATTCCACAATCTCTTCCACTTGCACCATCCTCTTCTCCATCTCCTTCACTCTTCTCATCCTCTGACATTTGACTATATTGAGCAAGAATTGCTTCTTTAAATCTTTTCTCTTCTTCTGTGTAACTTCTTTGCGTTGTAGTCGGGAGAGACTGAGATTCCAACATTCGTACTAATCTAACATCTACATCTTCCACTGGTACTTTTGGACCAGTAACTTCTTCAACAGGTAAGCATTCGGCCCAGACTTTCAAGATTTCCGTCACATGTTTACTAATATTATCATCCTAAGTATAAACATATTAAATATTAGAAACTCGAAACGGAAGGTAATGTATAATGTCATTTGATTATATACTGCAGGGCATTGCCGAATTATTAGGATGTTAAAGAATATAGCGGATATATCAACCGTCCATAGGCATGCATGCACGAACCTGAGATGTATAACATATCGTATTCGTGGAGACACATGCGAGTTAACAAGAGAAAGAATAATAACAACATCCCTGTTATTTTTGACCGGCTAATACACGGCTACGAACAGCAAGCATATTCTAACCTCACAATCCGTGTGCTCCTCACCGTTATCCCCGCGAGTATGCTTTCAAGGGCTTCGGTCTTCTCATCATCCGTTTCGTCACCTTCCAAAATTCCTTTGATGTATGATCCAAATACACCTTCGTCAGTATTTAAAGCCTCTAACTTCTTGCTAAGCCAACTATCAAAAGAATTCGTTGCAACCGCCATGTTTGGCTTTTTCAATTTTCCGAACCCTTCGGTTGGCAACACGCTTCAAGCAACTCGTAACGTTTTTCACAAAATTCATATAAATAATTATGCACTTAAAAATATCGAGAAACTTGTTACTAAAACTTATATTTTTTTCACAACACGATGATATATATACTCCGAATTACTATTCACAAGTTATTACGTTTTTCACAACTGATCAATAATTATAATTGTGGATTTTTCACACAATAAATCCGACACATGCATCGCGATTGAATGTTTCTAGAAAACTATATTTTGGAGGTACTTAAATTGAATGTCAAATCCAACTTTATCTGAATAATGCAAACTTTACATTACATAATGTTTAAGCATTATTATTATTAAGCATTAATGTTCAAACATTCGAAAGTTATATTATTATAAAGATATCGCTTCATTAATTGTGTTTGTTAAAAATCTGATTGAATAATCTGTTTTTAATTCCACTAATCTTCATAATGTTTAACACTTAAGAAAGAAACTTTTATCTCTAAAGGTAAGGAATTCCTACTTAACGATCAATTTCCAAATTACGTAATAAAAGTTTTAATGATCATCTGATAAGATATCAGTGGTAAATAAATCGCTTATCGATATTTGATAATATAGTTGTTACACTAAAAATAAATATTTCTTTTAACTTACAGATAAAAATTACTAGACAATCATCACAGTAAAATTTAATAAATAATGGACGTTCTCAGTCTGCATTATTTATAATATTTTAAAAAAGTTATTAAACGATCAGGGATGCAGTCTTTTCTCATATTATGTTACCTCTTCTGACCGCCAGATGGTGATACTTTTGTCAAAAAATAAATTCCTAATAATTAAATACCTACAATTATATTTCTTAAATATTGTTGACTAAACGCATGTATCAAGATATTAAAAATTAATACACCCGTAATTTAATTTTTTTAATACCTTTCGTAATATACGTATAATTTTAAATAAATCTTATTAGTTCTGTCTCCAATATCTTCTACATTTCATATTCACCATTTAATATATCTTATTTACGATTTAAACACAGACGTATTAATATATCAACAATATGAATTATTAACATTGTATCTATTCGTATTAACCACCGTTAAATACCCCTCTCTTTTATCATCAGTTAGTCTTATCTTAACCAAAATCTGCAATCTGTTACCATCACATTTCTATTGTGACAGTCCAGTTTCGTTGCTATAAACGACTATCGATTGCGAACGGATATGCTAATTTAATATTGGAATTACACTACACCCTGATGGTTGTTAGTCCATCACAGTTCTGTCACCGACACGGATCGAGAACGGGCACTGAATTCCTTCATAACGATGTGGAACTACGTGCTAATCTCGACCCTTGTGTTATTTGTGTCGTTGCTGTATCATTGTTATTTCAACAGTCCAGCTAGCATTATCGAGCACCCTAATACACATTATGATTACATAATCGGTAAGTAGAGGATGGTTCGTTTTCACCCGACAATGTCGGTGACTGCGATACCGTTTGAGTTGCCATTTTAAATAAAAGCAAGCAAATATAAGGAATTTATTAATCCTTTGATCCATGTCTTTGTTCAATCGATACAAAGCGTGCCTGACTTCGGGGCATAACTGAAGTTAATATGGCAAATCGGATTGTAAATGAAACTTCGCTGATGCAACATATAAGAAATATTGTATGTAATTACGAGTGTATATAATTCTACGTTTTACGTGTTTTGCCTGTGAAGTTATTGTTTTAAAATTATATTAATTATCATCGATTTTTTGGCCTCAAATACTCAGTGGAAATTTAGTAAGGAAATATTACATCGTACAGTTTCCGATTGGCAAAAAAGTGTACAGTGATGTTAGAATATATTACAGGGTGAGTAGAATATGAACTGACTAAAAATATAGCATTGTCTGAGACATAAGAAACGATTGGAAAATGATGAAATAGAACAGTGAATGACGTTAAGTAGTCTAAAATAATTAGAACGTGTAATCCATGCACGGGACAACAAGATTATGGTAAATGGTACTTGCAGTATACGCTTAGAAGACTATTCAGAATTCGAATAATTAAATCGTTCTTGTCGAGAAAAATATTGATGACAGTCACATATACAAATTCAAGCCTACATTATTTAATAACTATTATTACAAATTTCAATCACATATAGGAGTGTATTAATACTTTAATTATCTTACTTACAAAGTTGGTGCTGGAACAGCAGGATGCGTCCTGGCATCACGACTTTCCGAAAATTCGAACCTATCCGTTCTGTTAATCGAAGCGGGCGGCCATTTTGGATGGGTATCAACTGTTCCAATTTTGGCGCCAGTTATGCAAAGAACCGAGGTCGACTGGTCCTATTCAACGGAACCCCAGATGTTCTCTTCGAAAGGATTTTGGAATCATGTAAATGACACATACTTATAAAAATTCATAAATACGTATAACGACTAACGTACTTTATACCTTTATAATATAACCTTTTATCATTATTACGAAGTTATATACTATACTATATTAGTATTTATTACTACAAATACCAATATATTATTACGTATATAGTATACATATCTAGATTTAAATTCATATGAAATATAGACGAAGAAATGCAATAATTTTTAGAAAAGGTGCAAACAAAAAATATTCAAAACCTGTAAAAAAAATATGAATTTGTAATCGAATTCGATTAATTAATAAATCTAATTTTACCAACAGATTCAAAAAGTTCCAAGAGGTAAAGGGTTGGGTGGGAGTGGCCAGATAAATCATTTGGTTCACTCCTTCGGAAAGCCGGAAGATTATAAAGCCTGGCCCAAAGGATGGTCACACGCCGATCTACTTCCGTACTTTAAAAAGGTGTCCGATATCATGAACGTAATGTCCAGCCCGGAGGAGGAATATCTGGCGGAAGCTTTTCTCATGGCGGAAGAATCGTTGAAGTTGAATAATGTGACTCTACAAAAGGGGCTGTATACCACTAAAAGAGGTTCCCGGTGGAGCACATTTAACGCTTATTTAGAAAATGCCTGGAACAGAAAGAACTTGCACATTCTCACGAACACGTTGGTCTCTAAAGTGAGATATTATTTTCTTCTTGTCCATTATTTATTACTGCATTATTGAATCATATGATATTATTCCAAAAATATTATTCTTGTTGAAGCACTGAAATCTGATAATTAGTACTCGAGATCAGGCCTTAGATCTAAGCCAGGGATTGTAAAAATTCCTATATTTTGGAACCCTATTCAGAGACCCTTTGGACCCTATATTTTGAGTTCTGAAGTTTGATTGCGAGGTCGAAGTCTAAAGTTGGCATTTAAAAATTAATGAACATAATAACAATTAATGTCTCGTAATAAGGACACAGTTTGAATAGATGTTTCAAAAGTTGTTTTACATAGTAAAACACGTCGATTTGCCAATCAGACGTTTAAATAGACCTAACGTGAATTTCCAGATACTTTTTAAAGAGAATTCGGTCGCAGACGGGATCAAGGTGATTTATAAAGACGGATTGGTGGGAAAGATTGGAGCCAGAAAAGAGGTGATTCTTTGTACGGGTGTTATCAATACTCCTCAATTGCTCTTGCTTTCGGGAATCGGACCGGCTGAAGAACTTGATAAATTTCAGGTGATTTGACTTTTTTCTAAAATAAATCTTCGAAATACGATTCGAGAAATTTCCCTTGATATTGTAACTATATAAGTATATAATCATTTTTCTGCACAATTGTGTAATCTCAGAATAAAGATATTTTTAGATACCTGTGGTGAGCAATCGTCCGGAAGTGGGCAAGAATCTCTTCGACCACTTTATGCTTCCGGTTTATGTTAATCTGGAGGCAAGAGTGAGTATAACTTTGTTCAAGCTCCAAACACTTCCTGAGGTGCTCAATTACTTCATGTTTGGAAGAGGTGTGTGAAGAATTATTACTTTGTTTTGCATTTAATGATCAACCATTTCATTATCAACCTTCCAACTCATTTTTCCTAATTTTTTAGGATGGTATGCAACCAATGGTATAATGGCTGTAGGTCGCTCGAATGATAGCGGTGTCATGCTTTTTGGAGTGGGTTCTGCCGATGAAAAGATATTGAAGAGTTTGTCTAATTACAAAACAGAGGTAACCATGATACGACGATAATTCTTAAATCACTGCTCATGTTTTGCGAGTTTTGTAAATTCCACGTCATGTGATATTTACTATTGCTCGAAGACGATTTTCTAAATTAAATTTAGTAGATAATAATCTCATCATAATTTCTCTTTTTGGATATATAATCGATGAAAGGTAAATCACTACGGCTCTATTTTTTGATTCTGATTAAAGAAATATATAGCCTTACAGGTCGCTCTATCCATCCTACGACAACAGCTCTCGAGAAGGATTTATATTCCTATCTTTTTGTTTACAACCAAAAAGTCGTGGGAGTGTTTCATTAAGATCTACCAATATTCGTCATCAACCGAGAATTAATCCTGCTTACCTTCAACACTACGATGATGTACTCTGCACTCATCGGGGTATGCAAATTTTTTTCATCGCGATGGGTTCCCTAGTTTCTCACGCGAGTACATTTTTTCCATCATACTTTGCGTGACGAAGGTGAATTTTTGCAGCTATAAACTTTGCCATTCAGACGCTCGAGACACCCAAGTTTCGTGAGTATGGCGCAAAGGTTCATCACCCTGATCTAGATGAGTGTCGAGACCTGCAACAAGACTATCGGGACGTCGAATACACGGAGTGTGTATTGAGAGTCGGCGGTCTCACGAGTTACCACATGTGTGGTTCCTGCAGGATGGGTGCTGATGATCATGCAGTTGTCGACGAGAAATTACGGTAAAATTCTTTGCATCTCGAAAGCGTGATATAGCTGATTAAACAAATATAATCGTTCAATTAAAATGATTTAATTTGAAGAATATCGTTGATACGATTATTCGCGTATGATCATTTTAATGACCACTTGAATTCCTTATAAGGGATAAAAATTAATTTGTCTTGATAAGTTGGAAATTTCCTAATTTTATTTTCTAAACTATCATAAATTTTTAGGATATTACACGAGACATGATTAGATCTCCTATAGGAATAATATCACGATGTGAGTTTTATACGAGATATTTTTGTTTCAGAGTTAAAGGAGTGAATAAACTCAGAATAGTAGACGCCAGTATACTACCGACTCCAATTTCTGGAAATCCGAATTCCGTGCTAATTGCTATAGCGGAGCGAGCGAGCGATCTGATCGCGAATCAGCCACACAACTGACAAAATGCATTTGTCATGTAGATGAAAGATTATTTAATTACAATAAAAAGCGAATATACAATTCATAAAACGATGTCGAATTTAATTAGTAAAACAATTGAACTTATACTAAACAATTTAGTACAATATCCTACATATATATATATATATATATATGTTTTCAGTGATTCGATTGTATCAATCTCTATATATAATATATCAAAGTGCAATATTAACGAATAAGAAGCCAGAATTACAAGACGTTGAAAGGACAGGGGAAGAGAAGACGGCTAGTCAGATTTTTTGTAATTTATAATTAATGGTAAAGTTTTCTTGTTTTACAGTAATCGAACAGTTATTAATAGTCTAATTAAATTTCGATTAATTTTTATACAAACAAAAAAGAGGGTGAGTTACACTCAACTCGGCGTAGCACGAACCCCTGCCACCCTGTTCGCGCTCGGAGAAAAAAGAAAAAGAAAAAAAAAAAATATATCGTAACGCCACACTTCGCGTTCCATCGCCATTTCATTTCACTTTTATTTCCCCTCTACGCTTCTTCTCAAAAAATTCATCGTAACACCTAATGAATCATCATGATCATAATCATCATCATCATTTCAACCCAGTTCCTGTCCGGGATCGTTGGAGATGGCAGAGTTTCGACTCGTTCTTCGTTTCTTATTCCACTTCCGCGCCTGTTCTCTCTTTCATCCCCTTTCTCCCGTTTCTTCTCTCCCATTCATTCACTCCCTCGCAGGCAATCCTCTTCTCTCTCGCACGTTTCGCTGACGCTCACATCGAAATCGTTTCTAGCCACCTTTAACGCATTGGAAACGCATTTCAAACGCGTTTCACAGGAATTAAGCTTCGAAAAGCACGTTCGATTAATGCTAGAAATGAACTTCCAACACGCACCATGCACATTCACGCGGCTCACACACGCACACAGGCGCACTGTTTCCCGTATAAATAAAATAATTCTGTAATATAATGCAAAGTGTCACTTTTGCATACACGAAAAACCCAACTACTTGCTTGCACACGCTCCGTTCACCCTGGAGGCCCGCCATCTTGACGTCTCCGTGTCTTCCATCTTCTCTACGCCTTCATCGCGTCCCGTCCCTTCTCTACTACCCTTCTCCCCCAGATTTATCTCATAATCGTAACGCAAAACTTAATCTTTCAACTTAAAAACAAAATTGGTAACCACCGTGAACGCTCTGCGGCGCAAGCCACGATATTCCAAGCCCCTCTTTAAGAAGAAGTACAACAAGAACGATCGGTATGCCGAATCGGCATCGACAGCGCGAGACGCGTAGATCAACACGATGCTACTATACATGCACGCCGAGGTGACGAGAGAATCTTCATCATCAACGTGGAACACAAAATTCTATCAGGGAAAAGTGTCTCCTACCTCTCCTTACCCCTAAATCATCGCGCGAAATCATATTATCAAAAGAATTCAAACAAAACATGCTTCCAGTACGTGTTCGAAGGAACGATCGATCGGTTTTCTCTAGTCGTCGAAGAAGAAACTGAAAAGAACATGAACGCGTGAAGAAGAACGAATAAGAAAGAACAAAAATGGACGATCGATCGAGCCTGAAAATAACTTTCGACACTCTCCGCCGAGTTTCGCGTTCCCCGGCGGTTGTTAAAGCGGAAATGCCCAGAGAACGTCACCTCGGCATCGTGGGATCCCCGACGCGCGCTTCGAAATTTCCCGCGATTCGCAGAGGGGAAAATCGAGACTCTCGTGGCGTGCACCGCGTGATCGAGCGATTTACGAATCGCATTGATCTTCCTTAATTCCTCCATCGCTTCTTCGCGTCTTCTTCTTTTTTTTTTTTTTTTGTCTCATATGTATGCGAGTGTATGTGTGTGTATGTGTGTGTGTGTGTGCTTCGTGTCCCTGTGTGTGTATATATATATAATATATATATTTATTTATTTATATTTTTTCTCTTGTCTTCGACTTGCGATGTCGCATTGCGGGGCGACGAGTTCGGGGCTCGCTTACGACCTAAACAAGTACCTCCTTAATATTACATATAATATACTCTATCTATTTATATATTTATATATCTATATATATATCCATTTTATATTTATATTGAAAAAATGAGTGTACTCTTTCGTTCTATCAATAGGAATAGTTATCGATTAATTTGCAATTGCGTGTAACATAGACGCGTCCAGCGCATAGAAACATAAATAAATAAATATAAACGGATGTTATTTACATATACTCGGTGTCGTCTGAGGGAGGATGGGGGGCGAGGAGGGGGCCGGGTCGGTAGGCGGTCGGGTGAGAATGCGGTGTTTCCGAGAGCGTACGAGATTGAGGAGAAGGAGGCACAGGAAAATGGAGGACAGTGTTAATTATCCGATATATTTATTCGCGGCAGCTTCCGGCAGCTATAGTTCATCATCATCGTCTTCATCGTTATATCTCTCTTATATCATACAATATAATTATTACTTTTACGTATATTATCGTTCTTCGTGGCGGTTATCGGTCTGCGTGTATTCCGTTTACATGCTTGCTTCCTGTGCAGTACGGTACGAAAAGGTGAAACGCACCGGTGCCGCGTGGACCACGTGCCGGGAGTGAACGCCGGGCGTCGAGTAGAAAAATAATACTTCCCACAACGGGGCACACGAGAAAGAAAGAAACCGAGAAGGAACCGTAAAGCGACACACGACTGTACCAAAGTTATGGCCGTTGACGCGTGAAACGCCACGTCGGTCCCTAGAGGCCGAGCGCTAGACCCACCCGCCAGGCCCCGCCGGGCCGTACGGCCCGGAAGGGGCCCGCATCGCGTCCAACCGCGGCGTTTAACGCGTCAACGCGATCGTCTGTGCGTACCGTGTCTGTGTTCGTACGTGTTCGCGCGAGTATCGTGTGGACGTGTGTTCGTATGCGTGTACGTGCGTGTCTGTTTCATTGAGGTAGAAGCGGTTTCGTATACACCTATTATTATTATTACTATTATTATCAGTAGAAGATTATGTCATAGATGCGCGAGAATTGAGATGATGGTCTTTTTGTCCGTTTCATCCGAGTACAACGAAACTGCGGGACGAGGAGTGGGGTATTGCTCCTCTGCGTGGAAGAGGTTAGGGTAACACGGACGATGGGCGAGTAAGAAGAGGAGGATCGCGGAGGATCAGTGGCGTTTCTCCGAACAGAAAATGCAACCGGACGCATGCATTTAATAATAATGATAATAATCGATTCTTTGTTTCTTTCGTCAGAGTAGAAAGAAACGGGAACGAACATGATGGAGAACGGAAAATGAGCAACGGTCGTGCTGTTTCACCTTTTCTTCCGAAGGTGCCAACGAAAAGATTGAGAAACTTGCAAGATTTTCGACCGGACAGGTCTGACAGAAGAAATAAACGAGGAAATATTCGAACAAAAATATTGTTTCCAATTTTAAAGATTTGCTTTAAACGAGGAACTTCGTAGAAACACGCGCGTTCTCCGTTTCCTCGAAAGGAACCGAGAAGAGAAAATAGCGTAACACTCGTTGAATGATAAAAACGTGCAACACTCGTTGAACATTTGTCGAAACGTGTAACAATTGGGAACGGGAGAAACAAATGAACGGGGAAATTGTTTGGAACATTCGCCCGGTAGAGAAACACCACGTAACAAAACGAGCAACAAGGAACAAACGTATCTCAACAAGAACATGGCGACCACGCGAGATGGCGGGAAATTCAAAAATGGAGTAACGTCTGACGCGTCCGATAAAGCTAACCGTAAACGAATGATTGCGTCGCAGGTGTGGGACTGAGTGGGTCGTCGAAGGGGAATTGTTCAGCGGTGCTCGATGAGAATTAATACGATAAACAATTAACAAATCCGTGAATCGAAAGAAGTACGCCGATGAACGAAGAACGTTCGTCATTTTTCTTTTAACGCGGAATCGTCGTTGATCCGATCAATTCCCGCGTTTATCAATTAATTTACGCGACACCTATTTTCTCCTCTTTCTCCGTGTACCTTCCTCTTTCTTCCAGCAATCCTATCGTCTCTTCATCTTACTATTATTCATGTATGTTCCCTGTTATTTCCGTCCTGTTCGATTACGATGAACTGATAGGATGAAATGATAAGAGAACATAGATGACAGCGAATCCGAGTAGAGTTACGATTAATAACGAGAAGAACGAGGAAGAAGCACGAGGATCGAGAGAAAGTACGCGGTGAAAGTACGTCAATTAACGCGTACGTGCAATTAACACGCGGTGCAATAAGTAACGTAGTCATCGTTCGCGAAACACGCCTAACTTCGGTGATTCGTGGTGACGATGATCGGTAGCGGACATCGTTAACAACGTTATTTCCTTTTTCTCACGAAAGACACAGAGAGAGAGAGAAAGGGAAGGTGAGAAATGAAGAAGGGACGAGCGAGAAAGAGATAAAGAGAAACGGTGCGAAAGGTACACCGGCAATCCCTACTATACACTCGACTATTGCATCGCTTGATTATTGATTTATGTTATTTAATCTTATCGACTATTATACTTTGTAGTTTGTACTTGGTTTTCATATTCCTGAGAAAAGGACTCGTGGCACGGGCCGCGTCGTCGCGTGGACGACGTCGGTCCCGCTTCGAATTTTTTATTCTGACCTCTGTTTAACTATCGTCTGCGTTTCCATTTATTTATTTATTCGTCTTTTTCTTCCCCGATATCGTTCTTTTCCCTCTTTTCCTTCCGTCGTCGTTTTCCATCGGGTACGAGGGACACGACTGACCGCGCGTGTGCCTCATCCACACCTCTGAGACCTTCGATTCTATCGCAAAATACCGTTCTTTTTCCTTCCTTTTTCCCGTTTTAAAAGCTGTGCCTTTATCCCTTATGTACAGAGATTTTCTTTATTTTAAGCTTCCTTTATTTTCTTTTTTCTCTCTTTTGCCTTCTTCTGCACCCTGTATGTCGTGTGTGAGGTAGCATTTGTACTAGTGTGTATGACGAAGTATTGTGTTCCGTTATTGTGACGG